GCCAGCCCTGTCTCCCTTGCCATAACCCACTGGCTGTTCCCACGCCCGGAGCTCTCCCCACCTCACCATCCCCAGGGGCAGGTGCCTGTCCCCCAGCCCGCCCCAGGAACGGGCCAGGCTGTTTCAGCTGAACCTGAGAGCAACCTGAGCGGGTCTCCTGGGGCGTGGGACAGTTCAGTGACAGTGGGAATGCGAGTGGCTGCAGGGGGATGTGCCAGGCTTGGCATCAGTGCGTAGAGTGGAATTGGCTGCATGGGGTTTGGAGTGCCCAGGCTCCAAAATAGCAAAGTGCAATTGGTGTCTTCTGGTGCAGTGCTAGATGGGGATTTTGTTAAGGCTGTTTTGCAGCTCCATAACCCAGAGAAGGCCCACTGGAAATCCCTGTCTCTCACTGGGAAACCGGCAGTGCTTGCTTGTAGTCTGTGATGCCAAGGGGAGCAGCCCATGAGGGAGGAGGAATGTCCGGCAGCCACGCTGGGAGCCTGCTTGGGCTTTACTAGATCTTGGTGGAACAACTATAAGCTGTCTAGGGAGGAGTGGGATGCGAAAGTGTCTTATCCCACTCCACAAATCTGTCCTGCCATCCAGAATGGATGCTGAGGGTAAGCTGGAGAAGTGCTGCTCCCATGCACCACTTCCATTCTTTCTCCTGAGTTCCTCTGAAATTAAAAAGCTGGCATAATTTTTTTTTTTGAGGAAATGTCTATGGGGGCCTGTGAGACCCTGTCTGTGGTCTCTCCATGTTTGGCAGCCCCACAGACAGCACAGCTTTCCTGCAGTGCAGCTTGCAAACAGCTTGTGCTCCCAGGTTTTGCTGCCTTGTGACTTTGAGGACCATGGGGCTCTGGGAAGGGGCTCCTATGCCCACAGAATGTCCTGCTGCAGTTAAGGTGTGTGGCAGCTTTGGCTTGTTTCTTTGGCGAGTTTCTTTGGCCAGATCCAGGTTGGTGAGAGTGTGAAATTCACTCATCAAAAGCTTTTTGCTCCTCCGGAGACGCTGGTCATGGGGATTTTAAGGAGGTGCCGACTGGGCCAGCCCGTTTGGGTGTGCTGTGCCTGGCTGCCGGTGGGAGGCTGAGGCCAGCACAGTCATGCTCACACAGCTGCCGTGGTGACCCAGTAAACCCAGTCAGACCTGACCGGGGCTCGCTCGCTCCCCTGTGTGCTCACCCACGCCTGCACGCCTCTGCTGCCCCGCTGCTTTCCTGCAATCCCCAGGGACCAACACACATCGGTGAGAGGCGGTACCTGGCTCCGGCTCCGTGCTGGGCGCTGTGGCTGAAGCCCGTAGGAGAACTGATAGCCAGTGGTAGGAGGGTGGGCTTTTGCCTCTGTGGATGTTGCACGTTGTGAGCAGAGCAGCTGGTTCCTGGCTTCGCCCCTCTCGGGGTGTCCGTCAGTCCTGTGCCTGGGTCCTGCATCCGCCGTCCTGCTTCTTCAGCCTCGCCAGCCAGCGACGGGAGCCTCAGTGGGAGCTGAGGCTGCACCATCAGGTCCTATGTCGGCCCCCGGTGCTGGGAAGTAGGTGAGGTGCCAAGGGACTTGGGAGCTCATTCCATGGGAATAGGGTGGGCTTTTCTGGGACGTTTTTCTCTTAAACTCCTAGCTTTCTTGGAGCTGCTGCTGCTTTCTAGCCTCTCCATCTCCCCTTTTTGTTTCCCTTCCCTAGAGAAAACTGTTCGTTTCCATTCCCAGCTTTTTTCTATTTCTCATTGAAGTGCTGGACTTGTGTAATCCATCTGCCCCCAGTCCTAGTGGTGAGTCCCACAGATCAAGACCTCCTCTACTTCCTGCCTGAGCCCTCAGTTTCACCCTGAGCTTAGAACTTGCATCCTGACAAGGGGGAAGTGATGGGTTTGGGGGTGTTTGGTGTGGCTGCACACCAGGGTATTGACCTGAGGGGAGCAAAGGATTGTTTCAGTTCCTTCTTGCTTTTTCTCCCCCACTCTAGGTATGAAAAATAAGAACTAGAAAATTAAAAAAAAAAAAATAGGGAATCTTGGAACAGCCCTTCTCTTTGAGTAAATATTAACTGGCTCTTACAACGTAACTGATTAAATGTTCTTTAGGACAAAGTTACATCTGATCTCAGTCAAAGGAACCTTTGGAAATGGGTGTAGCTGCTTCACGGGAAAAAGCAGAAGAGCCCAGCCCTGACAGCATGGGAAGCTGCTCCCCCCTGCCCAGCCAGGAACCCTGCACAACCTCCCAGTTTAAAATATTTTTGTTTTCCCCCTGTACTGGCGCTGTGTGTGTGATGGTTAATGTTAGCTGGGGCTGGCTCGCAGCACCACGCTGGGCCTGTGATAAACACCATCCCTGCCACCCTGGCCGGCCGCACTCCCAGCTCCGCTCCCTGGCACATCAGGAGCCAAGCAGCAGGCAAAGTTCAGGGTTTGTTTGTGCAGGGGAGATAAGCTGAGGACGCCCAGCAGCATGCAGGGCTGTTACTCATTTATGAGAGATCATTGTTTGCCTTGTCGTAAGGAGGTTTTTCCTCTACTCTGCTTCCCCATCCCAGGTGCAGCAGCTCTTGTGGCTTGTGCATGATTCCAGACTTGTGTCCCCATGTGGACACTTGGGGAAGGGGTCCCTGTAACTTCCAGAGTGGTCCTGCTCCCACTGGTGGGATGGAGAGGTGTCAGCATGGGGCTGGCCGGGGTGCTTTGGTGCTCCAGGTGTGACCCCACCACTGGCTTTGCCCAAAGCTTGGTGGGTTTGGCTCGTGCTAGACATGGTGCCACCAAAGCACATTGTTTCTTCTTGATGTCTGTCTGCACTCACCTGCCTTGCATTGCTGTGCTGTCATTCATGGGCAGACCCTCTGTCTGTACAGGGCTTGTGCTGGAAACAGGAGTAACCTGGAGTGAGCCTGCTATGGGATCTGCTCCCCAGGGAGCTCAGCCCTGCATGCAGCACCCTGCCTAAACCCAGGGTTGGATGCTCTTGGGTGCTCTGTTCTGGTCTGGGGGGACAGTGGGGCAGCAGGGAGAAATATTTCCCATCTGCCTCATTCCCTCTTGGGTTTGGCTGTTTGGTCTCTGCCCTGAGATGCGTGGGATGTTTCTGAGGCAGCCCGTGCTCCAAAGAATGAGTCTGGACTCTTCACTTTCCAGTCTTCAGGTTGTTTATTATTTCTTATCTACAAAATTTTTCTCTCTGCCCAGCTGAGATCTGCTCAGCAAGGCAGCCATAGGCACTCTGACCACCCCTGAGGCAGTGTTGTCTTTTATACTACAAACTACGCATATCATATTTACTTTTAATTCCCAATACCTATCACCTATGTTAGACAGTGCACTTCTACTCTAAACCAATCCTCAAGTACCAAATCACAGCAGAAAATGGAGAACAAGAAGAAGAAAGAAGAAGGACTGGACACACCCTGATTCCTCCATCTTGTCTCCATCACCCCTATACCAAAAATTCTAAAATCTCTATTTTCACCCTGTGAACACATCATTCTTGCACCATTCAAACTTGTGTGGCTCTCATGTCCTCATACACAGGTGACACTTCGTTAGAAGTATCAAAATCAAGCCGCCAGGTGTTCCGGGCAACATGCCAGGGTCTCCGAGCCCCCCGAGAGGGTTCTCAGCAGCTCTGAACATCCGGAGGGATGTGCTGAGTTCCCACATTTCCCAGAATGCTCTCGGGCAGCCGCCAGTGCAGGTGTGAGGTTTGTGTCTGAAAGCCCTTGAAGGAACCAGAACTTTGATGCAAGCTCCAGAACTAGGGCTGAATCCACATCTGGCCCCTCACTTCTCCTTCTCAGCCCCAAAGCCCTCTTCACCTTGGTTTTACCTCCCTTCTTCTTGGGACTCAGCAAAGTATTTGCTTCAGGGAAATTGTCTGCAGTGAGCGTGTTTGAGCAGCTTCTCTACAGGGTCAGGTATTTGGGTTTTTCATATATATATATCTATATGTGGGTGTATATATATATATTTATAAACCTCTAAGCAAATACTTAGGTGCTGGTTGCTTACTGGGAGCTCTCCAGCTCAGAGATACCCAGTCATCTTTTTCCTCCTTAGTGCCTGCAAGATGAGCTAGTGGCTTTGCTCAGTGCAGCTGGGAGAGGTGGGGGGATATTTGTGGGGTTCGAATGCATGAAAGTGAGAGCTGAAGTAGATATGGAGCTTCAAGGCAGCTTGGGATGAAAGAGAACCTGAAATCTTGTGGAAAAACACAGTAGGGAAAAATTGTTTCATCTTGAAAAGATTTGCCGAAGATTCCAAGCAGTATGGATTTTCCTTCACCTTACATCCCTGTGTGCCTGAAGCATCCTTTCCAATGCCTCGGTCCTCTGGAGTCTCATCACTTCAGGGGGGCCAAAGCTGGGACCAAGGACCATGTCCTTGAACAGCAGGACATGGTCAGCTGGGCTTTTGGGAAGGAGAGGAGACCTTGGGCTCCCCAGGACCCTCACTGTTGCCATTCCTGCTGCAGCCACTCTGGGGGTGCAGTGGGACTTGGGGTACCCCTGTGTGCCAAAAGACCCACAGAGGGGCTCTCTTTCTCTGCTTTTGAGGGAAAAATGTTTCTGCTTTTTGGTGTGATATGCAATGGGGGACCAGCTGCCTCTGCTGAAACATATCCTTCAGTCAGGGGGATCTGCAGGAGCAAAAGGCTGGGGGTGAATGAGGGATGAACCCAGAGAAGACCTGGGGGAAAATGTACCTCCAGGCAGCTGACCCAAGTGCTCAGGAAGCAGCTCCCTGCTGTGACAGAATGGTTGCTGACCCAGGGGGATGCTGCAGAAGGTCACTGTGCTCAAACTCCCCTCCGTGCTCCATGATGGCTGCAGGCTCTGTGCCTTGTGCTATGCCTTGCTTTCCCCTTGAGCAAATGAGGGTTTGTTTTTCCCTGAAGCCATCCCTGGTCTGAGGCCGTGCTGGGTCAAGCATCCATGCGTGTGTGCAGCTGGCTCCTTCCCAAGCCTGCCTGCTCGTGAGGCGCTGGGACAGCAGGAGTGTCTGAGCCAGCGCTCTGTGTTTCAGGAGGGTTTGGTGGCCAGCCCTGTCCCAGAGAGCTGGAGAGGCCGTGCTGAGGAGTGGCTGTGCCGGCCCGGCGGCTGAGAGAGCGGGAAGATGAGCGCAGGGCCGGCACATCTCCTGACAACTCTCTTCATGGCAGCGGCAGCCATGGGCTACCCGTCACGGCGCTCTCCCTCCGACCTGGATGCCACCCCCAGGACAACAGTCACCTTTGATGGTAAGGGGGTGTGGGTCCTGTTGGTGGCAGTGAGGTTTGGGATTTTGCTGGCACTGGCCTTGGTGCATTGTGACTGCATCTAAGATTTGCCACCCACCTGGAGCAGGGGGCTCAGCATGGGAGGAGGGTGGCTACATGGAGGCCTCTAATCCCCTGGGCTCCACAAATCAGGGCCCACATGGCTGTCTGGTACTGGGTGCCCCAAAGAAATGAGCATGGCAAAATCATCTCCCCTAAAGTCGGAGGGGGACGAGGATGTACAGGGAGTCAGCCCTGACCAACCCCTGGCCGTGCCCAGCAGCCCTTGGAGGGTGTTCTGAGCTGGGCATCACACCTGAGCTGGCATCTCATGGCCCAAATACTCAACAGGAAACTTTTTTCCTTGATTTTCTCTAATTGCCCCAGAGCTCTTGACCTCCAGCCTCTGTGGTGTCAGTGAGCCCAGCAATGTCATTGTCCCTTGGGGGACATCATTGACCTCATTAGTGAGGCTCAACTCAGCAATCGATGGTGGGAGAGTTTCATTAGTAGCTGGGGTGCCCTTTTCTGGGAAAGACGGGGAGTCATTCCTTTTCCAGCTGTCTACAGGATCCCAAGCCTCATAGAATTTTCACTTCCTGCTGGTCCCTCTGGCCAGGGCTGAGTCCTACCTCACACTTCTCAGCACCTCAAATTGGATGGTTTCATTGGCTTGGTGGGCAGGAGCACTCAGCCTCACAGCAGAATCACTCCCCTTGTGTGACAGTTTTGGTTCAGGTTTTTTTATCCTTTCCTGGGCTGGCTGGGCTCAGTTCACAGACAGAGTCACTGCCAGCATGTTTCTGCTTTCTTCAGCAGTTTCCCAAACAACATGGCAGGTTCGTGCCCAGCGCAGACATTGCAGCTCCCACCCCTGAGCTGTGCTTTAATTAGCGGAGAGAAATTTCCTCTGTGAGCCCAAGCCCAATTAGTGCCTTTTACCTTTTACCAAACCTTCTCCCTTCCTTTCCTCCTGCTGTAACTGCTGTCACCCAGCACTGCCTGCCTGATAACCTCAGCAAGTGCCATCCCACCCACTTCCAGCTCCATTCTCTTGTCTTTTCCCAGTGGCTCGCGCTGTGCCTGCCCCGCGGTCCCCCTCAGCCCCCTGTTCCCTTTGCAGAGCTGTCGGGAGTCCGGCGCTTCACGGCGCACACCCTCAACTACAGCACGCTGCTGCTGGAGGACGAGCGGGGCATCCTCTACGTGGGCGCCAGGGGAGCCATCTTCGCCCTCAACTCCAGCGACGTGGCCGACGGCTCCCACCACACGGTGAGCCCGGCCTCTGCCACGCTGCCCAATCCCCGTCCACATCGTGGCCACTCTATCCCTGCTCAACCTCCCCCTCACCATCTCAGGTCCTGCCTGGAGGTGATGTCTCCAAGCCTGTACTCAGGTTCCCTGTGGACACCTGGTCTTTCTCCCCAGACAGGCAGCATGGGGACAGCAGTAGGAGACATACCCAAGCTCACAGCTGCCTGTTTCAGGGACACCTCAGCAGAATGAAGGGCAGAACATTCTTTTCTCCCCCAGGGAAGGATATTCCAAAATCCTCCAGGCTCCTGCAGTGCTCTGGGATGTCTGTCCACTAATTGGGGTGTGGGACCACTCTTGCCCCAGGCTGGTGGGATGTGTGCAGGGTGCCATCTTGTGTTCTGAGCAACCACCCCTCCCAAACAAAGGACTTTATCATCTCTGATGGCTCTGATGAAAGCTGGAGGTTGCAGTGACAGGGGGACCATGCAGTGATGGGGGGTCATGCAGTAGCAGTCTCTCTTCCCCTTGCAGATCCACTGGGAAGCCTCCCCGGAGAAGAGGATGGACTGTCTGCAGAAGGGCAAAAACAACAAGGTAGAGCCGCTGGGTGGGTGCCAGGGAGGGGCTGTCCCCACTTTTCCTGGCTTGTAACACCTGCCCTCCCCCTCTGCAGACCGAGTGCTTCAACCACGTGCGGTTCCTGCAGCGGCTGAACAGCACCCACCTCTATGCCTGCGGGACCTACGCCTTCCACCCGCTCTGCGCCGCCATCGTGAGTACGGCTCACCCGCATCTGCCCCTGTCCCCTGCCACTGTGTCACCCCGGAGAGGTGCAGCCCCTGTCCTCTCCCACCATCTCCACCCAGCCCCACTCCCTTTCTACTGCTGTCCCTGCCTGGCTCACTCCCAGGTGAGTGACTCTCAGGCTGGGGTGAGTAGGTTTGAGGATGTGGCCAGTGTGATGCAGATGCCATGAGTCCCCACCCTGGCACTCTGACCCCAAACAAGAGGGCTGGGGATGGATCAGTGCCATGGGGGACGCATGTGGGCTCAGTAGGATAGGATGCACCAGCCCTGGACCTGGTCTCCACTGCCTGCTGTTGCAGAACACCCTCCCAGAGGAGGGGCTGCAGAGTGGCTGATGGCAGGTGGTATGCATGCCCAGGGAAAGGTGACAGGGGCAGAACTGACTCAGCAGCTCCTCCCCAGGAATTTCCTGTGCTAGTCTGAGAGTCCACACATGGCTGTGACTCACGTGTCCAAGAGCAGCCGTTATTATTGGCAGTGTAGCTCCTTGAGTCAGTGGAGACTCAGTTGCCATTTGCCCACCTCCCTTCCTGAGCTGGGGGGCAAAGGGGCCCCGTGACCTTGCCTGCAGTGTGGCCAGGGAGCCCTGGAGAGCCTGTGCCTGTTCCCATGGCTGTGCTGCTGGTCCGGTTTGGCCCTCGCACACACTGGAAATTGGGTGGAGGAGCTGCCAAGCTGGAAGGGCCCTGTCATTATTTAACGTGCTTTGAACTGCAAACCCCAAAGAAAGTAACTCCTGCTATGACATGGACAGCACCTGGGGGGACTCCAGGCTGGCTGAGCAACATCTGCCAACCAGGCACTGTCTGGGGATACTGGCTGCACTGGCTGGCTCCTGCCTATGCCCGTGCAAAGCCCAGCTGGGGCTCCTCTTCCTCCCAGAGCCCTCTACTCACTCTTGGCTGGGGGCTGCAGCTGGCTGTGTGGTTTCTGACCAGCTGGAGGGTGCCAGGAGGGTTCTTCTTACTTGGACAAGGGCATGGCTATGGCCATCACTTTGTCCCTGCTAGCAGCCTCAGCGGAGAGCCTGAGGCTGGCAGGTGAGGTGGACCTGTCCCCTCCTGTCTAACCTGATTCCCTGTCCCCCTCAAGGATGCCAACAGGTTCATGTTGCCATCTCACTTTGAAGAAGGCAAGGAGAAGTGTCCATATGACCCTGCCCGTGGCTACACTGGGCTCATTGTGGGTAAGCAGCACCTTTCTGGGTCTGGTGGGGACATGCAGGATGCCACTGACCATGGCCCCATCCCAACACCTCTCCAGGGGGTGCCAGTGGTCCTCCCCCAACTCGTCTGCCTGGGGCAGTGGGGTGCTGGTGGCCTGTGGGGCTGTCCTCAGGCTGCAGGGCCATGCTGATGGGCACCTGCCCTGCACAGATGGAGGCTTGTACACAGCAACACGCTACGAGTTTCGGAGCCTCCCCGACATTCGGAGGAACCTGCACCAGCGGCCACTGAAAACAGAGGAGTCCCCACTGCACTGGCTGAATGGTGAGATGTCCCTGTTCCTCCCATCTCGTGGGCTGTGGCACACTGTGCATTGCCCTGGAGAGTGTGGAGCAGGTGTGGGGGATGGCTCTGGAGTCCTATGTGGTTTGCTCTGAGAAGGAACTGAGGCAGGGAGGGATTCCCCATTCTGTGTTGGTCTCCAATCACCACCTCTTGCTCCATGTCCCCAGACGCTGAGTTTGTGACCTCTGTGCTGGTCCGGGAGAGCAGGGACAGCCCTGTGGGTGACGATGACAAAATCTACTACTTCTTCATGGAGAGGGCAGGAGAGGAGACCACATCCTTCTTTGACAAGAGTCAGGTGGCCCGAGTGGCGCGGGTGGCCCGTGTCTGCAAGGTAGGCACGCTCCCAGCCAAGCACTGCTCCTGTTGGTGCAGGGGCAGCACGCCTCCGCCTGTGGGAAGACTGAGGCACAGGCAGAGGGGAATGAGCAACTGTCCAGCCTGTGCAGAAATGCTCTCTGCACCCTCCCAGAGCGATGTGGGGGGGAAGAAGATTCTGCAGCGCAAGTGGACGTCCTTCATGAAGGCACGCCTGGTCTGCTACATCCCCTACTACGAGGTGCTGCGCAGCGTCTGCAGCCTGGACGGGGGCGGCTGGGCCAGCACTGTCTTCTATGCTGCCTTCACACTCTCAGCACAGTGGTGAGTGGGGCAGCAGCCAAAAGGATCGGGGCTAAAAGTCTGCAGCATCAGGGCAGCCAGAGATGTGCGAGGGGATGTGCAGGCAGGTGCTAAGCACCTGGGGGTGCATTGGTTTGTAGCACCCATGTATCTGCCCAGGCTTAGGTGAGGTTCTGCTCCTCAGGAGGACCATGGAGGCCTCGGCCGTGTGCCGCTACGACATCTCGGCGGTGCAGCGTGCATTCGAGGGCCCTTACATGGAGTACCAGGACTGGGCTCGCAAATGGTCCCGCTACGACGGTGCAGTGCCCGAGCCCCGGCCCGGCTCCGTGAGTGCCTAGGGGTGCAGAGCAGGGGTGGCATGGGGCAGCTGCCTTCCTCTCTGACCCCTGTTTCCCCTGGGCAGTGCATCACGGACCACTCCCGCAGGAAGGGCTACAACTCCTCGCAGGACCTGCCCAACAGTGTCCTGGACTTTGTCAAGCTGCACCCACTCATGTTTGAGGAGGTGAAGCCAGCTGACGGGGAGCCGCTCCTGGTGAAGAAGAACGTGGTGTACAGCCAGCTGGCTGTAGACAGGGTGCAGGCCCTGGATGGTCGCTCCTACGATGTGCTCTTCATGGGGACAGGTGAGTGTGAGATGAGTTCGATGGGCCTCTGCTGGGCAAAGGCCACACCTCACTTTCCCTCCTGAATCCCCTGCTCTGCTCTCCAGGGGATGGCTGGATCCACAAGGCTGTGGTGGTGAACTCTGGCATCCACATTGTGGAAGAGGTGCAGGTGTTCAGGGACCTGCAGCCTGTGGAGAGCCTGGTGATCTCCCACATCCAGGTGAGGGGTGGAACAAGTAGGAGGAGACTACACATGGGGTATGCTTGTGCTGTGAAGCTGTCATTCTGCTGTTTGGGGTTTTGGGGGGACATGACTCCTGGATCACACCAGCTCAGGATATGTGCTAGAGCCCAGGGGAATAGCTTGGGGAAATGAACCAGCCTGGCCATCAGCACTGACTGGGAGCTAGGGGCTCTTCTCGTGCACACCCATGAAGGGAGAGCTGTGCTGTGGGGCTGGGGGAGATCTCTGGGCACCATAGGGCACTCCACAGCCCAGCAGCACCATGCCAGATCCATACTGAGCCAGCCCTTTCCCCCTCAGAGGAGCCTGTACGTGGGGGCAGCCAGCGGGATCGTGCAGGTGCCCCTGGCCTCCTGTGCCAAGTACTCCTCCTGCTATGACTGCATCCTCGCCCGGGACCCCTACTGTGCCTGGGATGGCAGGGCATGCCGCACCATCGCCACCACAGACAGGTAGGGATGGGCTGCCCATCTGCAGATGGGTCCCCATGAACCTTCCACTTGCCCAATCCCACGCTGTTTCACGTCACCCCAGAGCCAATCCCAAAGGTCTGGCATCTGACAGTGGGTGTCCTGGTGGCCGTGACCCCCATAAGGGGGAGCTCAGCTGAGGCTGTATGGCTGAGCCCCCCATGCCTTGCAGCACAGGGCTGGTGCAGGACATTCAAAGTGGCAACAAGGGATGCCGGAGCAGCTCTGGACGGGGTGAGTCTCTCCTGCCCTTCGGGACCATGGGGATGCTGGTGTCCAGCATCCCTTAGAATAGCTGGGAGAGGTGCAAGGCAGTGCGTGTCCCCACAGGCTCCCTGCTGTGGAAGAACCGGACGGTGCTGCAGGGGGACGATGTGCTGCTGCCCTGCGACCAGCGCTCCAACCTGGCCCGAGCCGTGTGGATGATGAACGGCAGCGAAGTGCTGGGCACGGGGCAGGACCGGCTGCGCGTGGGGGTGGACGGGCTGCTGGTGACGGACACGCTGCCCCAGCACAGCGGCGAGTACCGCTGCTACGGCGAGGAGCAGGGTCTCCGGACACTGTTGGCTACCTACAGCCTCTCCGTGCTGCCCGAGCTGCCCCGCAGCCCTACGGCTGCCCCATCACCCCATGCCGCCAGCCAGACGACCAACGACATGAAGGTGGCTTACATTTCTGCCATCGTCACCTTGGTGGTGCTCTGCACCGTGCTCAGCATCATCCTCCTGTACATGTCCTGCCTGGAGAAGCGCAAGGGCAAGTATGTGCTAGGGGAGCCGCGGCCAGCCAGCGTGGAGCTGCAGACCGTCTCGGCCAACTGCCTGCGCAAGGGCCACCGGGAGGAGGAGGAGGAAGAGCTCACCTACCCCGACGGCTGCCTGCGGATCATCCCCGGCGAGGCGCCCACGGCAGCCACCTCCCCAGCCAAGGAGCAGCCGGCTGCCACGCCCCCAGTGCCACCCCCGCTGCCAGCCGAGCTCACCAATGGCGTGGGGGCTCTGCCCAACGTCCTGCGCAAGATGAACGGCAACAGCTACATGCTGCTGCAGCAGCAGGAGGAGCCGCTGGCCTCCCCGCTCTACAGCGCGTCCTTCACCGAGGAGCTCAGCAAAATCCTGGAGAAGCGAAAACACACGCAACTGGTGGAAAAGCTGGACGAGAGCTCCGTGTAGGGGCTGGGGAGGGGGGTCCTGCCAGTGGGGCCCTCCTCCCCTCCAGCCCCTTCTCCCACCCTTTGCCAGCAGTATTACAAGTCTCAGGCAAAACTACCTCCTTGATGGCAGAGCTGGGCCGGGCCCAGGCTGAGCCATTCCTTTGGCATTCATTCACTTCTGAGACTTACTGTACAGAAAAAAAGGAACAAGTACCTATTTAAATTTTGAGCTCTATTTATGTATAAAAACTCACTGACAGTGGCCACGAGCTGGAGACAGGAGCTCCAGGAAGGTGGACATTATAGGGAAGGAGAGTTTTTGTCTGTTCACCCAGGCGTGAGAGAGACGCTGTTGTGGATGTGTGGACTTGGCCAGCCTTGGCTGGGTGTCCCTTGGCACACAGGAGCTGGATAGCTGCTGAGAGGTGGGTGAAGAGCATGGAGGGGGGCTGAGGGCTGACAGGGCACAGGATCCCTTGCTGATGGAGGGCTGGTGGGTTTTTCCCAGCTGCCAGTCCTCAGGCAGGAGAGGGGCCCTGGACACATCTCACATTGTGAGGGGTGGTCTCAGTGGCTTCCAGCCCCTACCTGCTCTTCTGCATCTGCCCCCTCAGGGTTTCCTCTCTGGGAGAGGATGGTTTGGCGAGGCACAAGAGACAGGGCAAGGAGCTGATGTCCTGAATACCCTGGAGCAGCTGGTGAAGGGGCATGCGCCCACTGCAGAGGCCAGAAGAGGCCACAGGTGAAATATGGGGCTGGGTGCACTGGGGAGGTGGCACCCCCAGGCCCTCCAACCCTGACAGACGGGGCTCTGCTCCCTTTTCCCAGGGCATTGGATGCAGCAGCAGGCAGCAAGATGCACTAGCAGCAGGACTGGCAGCTACCACCGTGCCCTACAGCACGACAAGGGAGCGGCACATCATCCACATGCCCCTGATGTCTGCAGTGCCCCTGTGGCTCCAAGCACAACATGTTTCTGCCCTCCTGTGCAGGGACGTTGGTGAACTGGAGTTCAGGCACAGCCCTGCCACCCATGACGAAATGTGCGGGCAGGGAAATGTCCTCACATGGTGAGGAAGAAGAATCTTGGACAAGGGCCTGCCTCCCTTTGGAGCCTTCTCTTCATGGCACTTTCCATGGAGCAGCCACAGTTCCTAAATCTTCCCAACTGTTTCTGCAACTGCCACCTCCTGGGGACTGAGAGATGGGGGTGACAAAAGCATCTCATGCTCCAGGGACAGTGTGGTGACACTGGAGAAGCTGGGGAGGGACACACCTGTGGGGGTCCATGTCCTCCCCCATGTTCCTTGCTCATAGCTCCATGATCAGGACATGGCCAAGGGCTCAGCCCTGTAGGGGAAACAGGAGATGGGTGACAACCCCAAGGGTCTCTCACAAGCTGCAGCTCAGGCCTCCTATTCCAGGAGAGTGAGGCTTAGCAGGAAAAGGCAAGAGTTGCACACTCTGTCACCCTGCCCCAGCCCTTGTTTTTGCTGCAAGAAGGGGGAGTGAGCCACCCTCAAGGACCACCCACAACCCTCCAAGGAGGGGCATCACTCTGTGTCTGGCACTCCTCATGCACAGCTCCACATTCCCCCAGCAATAAAAATGGCTCTGTCTGGACGTGGTGTAGCAGTGTTCCTCTAAAGGCAGGAGAAATGGATGCAGAGACGTGGGGGTGGAGGAGGCTTTATTGGGGCTGCAGGCGCGGGCCCTGGACAGTGAGGATGGAGGGTTTGTTGGTGAGGGGGTGCCACTGGCCCTGGACGCTGGGGTTGTCAGTGTGGAAGGGCTTGCGGATGCGGATGATGTCCAGGCCGGACTGGTTGGCCAGCTTGGTGGCCAGCTGCACGATCTCCTCACTTGTCTTGCTGGCAATGAGCTCGTCCCGCACCGTCCCGTTCACTGCAGCAGAGTGAGGGGGTCAGGCTGCGATCCCCCCACTCCACAGCCTCCGGGGTGCAGCTGCTGCTCCCCTATCCCACAGCAGCTGCCCTGGCACCATCTGCGCCGGGCAGAGGTGGTACAGAGCCAGGGCAGGACAGGGAGACCCCCCCGTCCCCTCCCCAAGCCCCCCAGCACTCACAGTACTCGGCCCGCAGCACAGGGGCCGGGCCCGGGCCCGAGTGGGGGCTCACGTAGAGGACGACATCGGGGTGCTGCCGGGCGAAGTCCTGTGCCGCCTCCTCCACGAACTGCCTGGGGGCCAGAGGGGACCCTCAGCCCCAGCCGGGCCACAGAAGGGACGAATCGCCACAGCCGCCAGACATGGGTCACCGTCCGCCCGTGCCGGGCCCACGGGAGGGGTCACAGCGCAGAATTTGGGGTGATGCCCCCGGTGCCGCCTTCTGGCTCCTGCCCCGTCCCGCAGGAGGCTGGGGGTCCCACCCCGCCGCTGCCCCCCGTGTGATCAGCGACAGCAGCACTGTCCCTTCCCCACGCTGACAGGCCCGGGGAAGACCCGTCCTGCCGCTTAAGGGGTCAGCAGGCTCCCCCCGCCCTATCCCCGGCAGTCGGGTGGTGCCGCCGGCGGTACCTGGCGCCGCGGGCGTCGGCCGCGGTGGGGCTGAAGAGGAGCTGCAGGCGCTGGAGCTGCCGCACGTACCGGCCCACGCCGTTGTGCAGCACGGCGGTCAGGAACCGGCTGGGAGACCCGCGGCCCGTCATGGTTCCGCGCTCACCCGGAGCCGGAACCGGCGGCAGGGGCGGGACGGGGCAGCCCCGACCGCGCCGGGAAGTGACGCGCCGGGAGCGGGAGCGGCAATGGCGGTGTCCGTGCGGACCCACGTGGGGGCTGCGGCCTGAGCGGCTCGGCGGGGCCGGGGGCCGCGGGGCAGCCGCCCATGCAGAGCGGCGGCGGCGCGGGCGGGTGCCGGGGCGGTCAGGATGGCGCTGGTGCCCCTGCGGCCCGGGAGAGCCGCCAGCCGCCTCCTGCCGCTGCTGTGCGGGGGGGCCAGGAGCAAGGGAGCCTCGCTGAGCCCCGGCGCGCCGGGCCGCCTCGGCCAGCGGCGCTACAAGAAGGGCGTGCTGCCCTCCCCCGACGGGCCCGCGCCCTCCGTCTCCATCACCGAGATTCGCCAGTACCTGCGGGCGCAGGACATCCCCTTCCACGATGGGTACAGCTGCCTGCACACCCCCAGCCTCTTCACCGGCGACCGCGGGGACCAGCCGCTGTCCGCCAATGCCCCGTTCACGCTTTTCATTGACAAGACCACGGGCAGCTTCCTGTGCACTGCCACCCTGGCCGAGGGCACCTGGCAGGACTTCCAGGCTAACGTGGAAATGCGGCACCATGGCGTTACCCCCATTCCCCCTGCCAGCTCGGAGGAGACGGAGGAGGAAATGCGACAGGCTCGCGAGGATGCCCGCTGCATCTGGGAACGGGCTCTGCCGCTCTGGGAGCTGCTGGATGAGAAGGAGACCAAGGAGACCAAGGCTTTGTTTGGTATCTCCCAGGTGACAGATGCCACCTTGAAACGTTTCGGTGTGCGTTATCTGAGGGCTGCCAGGTCTCTCGTCTTCCCCTGGTTCAGTCCTCAAGATGCGACCCTGAAGGGCCTGAAGCTCCTGAGGGTGGAGAAAAAGGGGGGCACAAAAACTTACGTGGAAGAGACATTACCCCGCTTCGATTCCTATCGCAATCTTTTCGGGCTGCCCCTGATTGGCCGCCGAGACACAGAGCTAGTGTTAACCGGCTGGGAGCTGGATGCCCTGGCCCTGCACCAAGCGGCAGGAGTGGCCAGCCTGGCCCTGCCGCGGGGGGCCAGCTCCCTGCCTCCCACCCTTCTTCCCTACCTGGAGCAGTTCAAGCGCATCACGCTGTGGCTCGGCGAGGACTTGCGCTCCTGGGAAGCTGCCAAGCTCTTTGCTCGCAAGCTGAGCCTCAAGCGCTGCTCTCTGGTGCGCCCTGGCAACCTGCAGCCCCGGCCCTTGGAGGCTCTGAACCAGGGCCTGAACGTCACCAAAATCCTACGTTCTGCCCTGCTTGCCAGCCACAAATCCATCATCTCCTTCCGGCAGCTGCGCGAGGAGGTGTTCGGGGAGCTGGTGAACACTGAACAGGTGTCTGGTGTCAAGTGGACACGCTTCCCTGAGCTCAACAAGCTCCTCAAAGGGCACCGCAGAGGGGAGCTCACCATCTTCACAGGTAACGGGCACGACGACTGGCGGACAGGGCGAGCAGAGGGGTGTTTGCTGGCTTCACCCTCCTGCGGGTGGTGCCTCACGAGTCTTCCAGGTCTCTTTCTGCTCAAGGCTTTTGCTGAGCCTGTCTTGCGGGTGTTTGAGAGGCTGGGGTGCATTCCTCAGTTCTGTGGGACTGTGCATGCCGATGTGGTGAAGGGTCCCTGCCTGGGGCAGTGTAGGAAGTTCTGGGCTGTCCCTTACCCCTGCTCCCCTCCCTGTGCTCACCCTACTGGCTGCCCAGCCCTTCACAGGGACCTGTGGAGATCCATAAGCTGTGGGAGGCCGTGCCCAAGCACCCAAGTGTGTTGTGTGGCATGAGAAGTTTGTTTATGGTCTGAGTGCTTCAGATGGGCTTCTCTTGCCCCAGTCCCTCGTGCTTCCACCTCTAAACAACCCCCCAACACGGTCAGGATGGGTCAGATCATCTCCCCAGCTAATTCTCCTGTTGTTGTCCTCGTACCAGGCCCAACGGGCAGTGGGAAGACCACGTTTATCAGCGAGTATGCACTGGACCTGTGCATGCAGGGCGTGTGCACGCTGTGGGGCAGCTTTGAGATCAACAACGTCCGTCTGGCCAAAATCATGCTGACACAGTTTGCTGGCCGGCGCCTGGAGGACCAGCTAGAGCTGTATGATGAGTGGGCTGATCGCTTCGAGGAGCTCCCGCTCTACTTCATGACCTTCCATGGCCAGCAGAACATCAAGTATGGTCCTGCACCTCCATTCTCAGTGGCATTTACCCCTCACGGCATGTGCTGCAGGGCCCTGGGGAGCTGGGGCTCTTCCCCCGCAGTGAGTCACAGATTTGGGGCTGGCAGGAGTCACATTGGGACTGTTCAAGTCCCAGGGTTGGTGTGTGGGGACTGTGTGGCCAACCACCTTTGTTCCTCCTGTCACGGGGACTCTCACAGATTCTCTCTGGGGTGGGGGTGAAGGAGGAGACTTGATCCCGTGCTGCTCTGAAGCCAGCCTGTGCCCATGGCAGGACATGTCCCCTCACACCCTGCTTACCTGCAGTGCTGTTGTTTGCTGAAGAAGGAGAACAGGCACCTCTAACTCCTTTTATTCATCAGGCGCTGTTCACCTGCATGCATCCCTGTGTGCCCTGAGGATCCCTGTGGGCTGGGGGCATTGTAGGGCAGTAGACAGGGACTGTGTGGGCAGTGCTGGGTCCTTCTGATCCCAGCTACCTTTCCCTGGGGGATGGGGCTGCACCTGCTATACAGTGGGGGAGGTGCAGAGGTGGGATGCACTCACATCCCATCAGGACCTGGTACCTTCCAGCTCTTTCTCTGCATCCCTTTGCCTGTCTCAGCATTCCCATCCCTACCTCCACTAATCCCTGGGGCTGATCCTGATCTCCTCTGCTCAGGACAGTGATTGACACCATGCAGCACGCAGTCTACATGTACGACATCACCCACGTGGTTGTTGACAATCTCCAGTTCATGATGGGACATGAGCACCTCTCTGTGGACAGGTAGTCCTCCTTCAATCTGACCCTTCCTTTCTCTGTCACCCTCACTGCTGGAGCTGTCCCTGTCAGTTGTCACTCCAGAGTCTGGGGTTCTGTACAGGGTGTCACCTTTACTCCTCTCTGGCCACTCTGTTTCATTAAAGGGCAACCAGTGCCCTAAGGAGGAAGAGGTGGGAAGGGGTGAGCAGATCACCAGCCATCCCTGCCATACCACATCCCTCTTCCCGTGTGGGCTTGTTTGCCTCACGTTCCTGGGTGGTTTCTGCTGTGGGGATCAGCACCTCACTGCCTCCTGCCACTGAGCAGTGCCAGCCCCTGACCCCGTTCTTGCTGCTGTGGCAGGCTCGCTGCCCAGGACTTCATCGTTGGTGCCTTCCGCAAGTTTGCCACGGACAACACGTGCCACATCACCCTGATCATCCATCCTCGCAAGGAGGATGATGAGAAGGAGCTGCAGACAGCCTCCATCTTCGGCTCTGCCAAGGTGAGCTGGCCCTTCCTGTCCCTTGGGCACAGTGTGTTCCTAGAAAGGGGCTAGGATGTGTTGGGCAGTTGTCCTCAGCTGCCATCAATGCCCTGGATCATCACTGGGGACTTAAAAGGTGTGGAATGTCTCCCAGAGTCCTGATGCAGGCAGAGAGCAAACCCATTGTCAGCTAAAGCTCTGTTGGGGCTTTAGGTGCATTTAATTAATACTGACTGTGGGTGGAATGTAGTAGGAGATAATTAAAGAGGGAGGCAGGGAGGGTGTGGGGACGGGCTCTGAGTGTTCCAGTCTCTTCCGTGATGCTGACCAGCCCTGCAGTTGTGGGCAGGAGGTTCTCTCTGTGCACAGCCCTCCAGTGATCCCATTTCCCCAGGGTGGGCTGTGGCACAGGATGTGCTTGGTGGGTCATTGGGCATTCCAGGGGAACACAAGGGGTTGGTGCTGGGGAAATGCTGGAGTTGCTGTTGCATAGGGTGCCCTGTAAAAGGGTTTAAAGCAGCTGGGAAAGTGTTTGTGACTCTGGCAGCATTCCTGGCACCCTCCTGGAGATGTTTTCCTCTCCCCAGGCCAGCCAGGAGGCCGACAACGTCCTGATCCTGCAGGACCGTAAGCTGGTGACAGGGCCAGGGAAGCGCTACCTGCAGGTGTCCAAGAATCGCTTCGACGGGGACGTGGGTATCTTCCCTCTGGAGTTCAGCAAGGCCTCGCTCTCCTTCTCATCTTCCAAAAGCAAGGTCAGGCTGAAGAAGATGAAGGAGGAGAAGGAGATTTTAGCCAACAAAATCGTGGAGGGAGGCTCAGGAGCCTCCAAGAAGCCATGAGCCCAGCAGGTCTCTTCCTCAGCTTGTCTGGGGGAACAGATCCTAGTTCTGGCAGCCCAAGGCTGGAATATGCCAGCTTCTCTTCCCTGGGAGCCTCTGCCATGGGGCTCTGTGGCCCTTTCTCCTGCATGAACAAACCTCTTGACCACCAGCACAGTGTCCGAGATGGGGGACCACCATGAGAGGAAGAGTGGTCCCATCCTGGTGAAGAGTGGATGGGGAAGGTGCTTTGACAAACACTGGCTGCTCCATGTTGGTGCTGAGTGCTGGGAGCATGGTGAGAATGGAGGCAGAGTGAACTGGATGATGATGGAGATGATCTGCAGGTCCTAGACTTGGGTGTCTCTGGACCTGGAGCAGGTTGTTAAATTGTGTCTGAAATGAAGCTGAAATCCTGAGCTATCACTGAACTGGGAGGGGATTGTGGGAGGCAACTATGCAGAGGGCCACGTAGTAGAAATCTCCCTGTCACAGATAGGGTCTGTGGGCTCAATCCTGCATGGGATGGAGCCAGCAAGGGAAGGATGGTGAAGGAAAGTGTGGGAGATTGTGGGTGGCTCATGCTCCAGGGTGGGAGCAGGTGTTACATGGAACTTGCTGTGTCTACCTGCTGGGCTGGTGCCTGACCTGGCCCTCTTTGCTCAGGGTCTCCCAAGCCCCTTTCTCTGGGGGGACATCACCAGCAATAAAACCATGTGGGGAACAGTCCTGCCTTGCTCTGCTGGGTTTGGGGGAGCTGCCATCCCCCCTGTCCTCAGGGCTGTGGGCAGCAAATACTGTGACCTGACTAGAAATACTGTGACCTGACTAGTCCTTGCCATGGTAGGGAGTGTCCATGGCTGGATCTTGGTCTAATCCCTTTGATTTTTTCCCTCTTTCTAGTTTTATTAAAGCATAAATCTGAGTGTCTTTTTGTCTCTGTGACTGGAGTACCCTTGGTCTGGGGGGAGTACCCTGGCCAGGGAGGAGGTGCCCCCCTGATGATGTCCCTGCTGCACTGAGCATCCTGCCCCAGCCCTGACACATGGGATTATTACCAACCTCCATGCTGGGAATAGTTATAACCTGAGCCATAATGAGGGCCTAGAGCAGGCAGGTGGTACACACCCAGCCCTGGGTTTCCGGGGTGCACTAGCTCACCTGGAGAGCACCCTTGGGTGCTGTCAGTGCAGGTGTGAGCACCCACAGGCAGGACAGGGGTGGTGGCAGAGGAGGGTCCTGGGGAAGCAGAGGTAAGGCAGGGGGGAGTGGAGCTGGGTCAGGGTTCACATGGCGGTGTGGGTGGGGGCTGTGGGTTTCCCCTCTCAGCCCAAGGGTTCCCTCCCTCTCGCTGGCTTCCATTTGACCCAGTCTGGTTCAGGTGAGGTGCTGTCATGGGGGACTAGAGTGGAAGGAAGGCAGTGGGATAGCCTAGGGCCCCATCTCCTACCTGTCCCTCCATGGGCCCTAGAGGGCGTGAAGAAGCTGAGTCTGTGGGGAGATGCTGGCTGCTCCCAGACCCTGGGGGGCAGGTGGTTTCTTGAGGGTTTATTTTATTCTCCTTTTGCCCCGGTTTGGGTCTCCACGAAAGGCTAGAGGATGGCAATAGCTGTAACAACTCTTGGGGAGGCACGGTGTGATGTCAAGCGGGGCAAAGGCCCTCCGGCCCCTTAACAGAGTGCTGGGCTCACCAAATAATTGCGGAGGGGGCACAGTCTAGAGAGGGAGCATAATCAACCCAGAGACCCGGAGATACTTTGAGGGTACAGAATCCTGAGAGGGGGGGCTTGGCTGAGGGAGAGAGGGGATGAGCTCCGGGAATCCCCCGGGACGGAGGTGACCGGGAACGTCCCGGGCGGGGTCCCCGCGCCCCTCCCGTTACCCCCGTGCCCCGGCCCCTGTCCGGGGGGCGTGACCACATGAGGGGGCGGAACCTCGGGGGCGTGGTCAAAGGGGCGGGGCCTGCTCGGGGCGGGGCCGGGGCGCGGCGCGGAGCGGGAGGCGGCGGCGGGGCCGCGGTGAGTGCGGGGGCCGGGCCGGGGGCGCCCGGGGGTCCCGTGGGGCCGGCGGGGCGCGGGGACGCTCCGAGGAGTTGGCTGGTGGGGTGCTTCGGGGGGAGCTGCCGGCCCTTGGGGTGTTGTGGGGCCGGACCCCCCGGGGCCGATTTGGGGGGGTCCGGGGGCTGGGGGGGCAGCGGCGGCCCTGGAGCTCCGTGCGGTGCTTTGGGGACGTTTCGGGGCACTTCGGGACGGTCCTGCGAATGCAGAGGCCCAGGGGCTCGATGAGGTAGTTGAGGGGGTCGCGGGGCACTTTTGGGGTGCTTGAGGGGCGAACTATGGGGCAGTGCAGGCCTAGGCGCTCCGTGGGGCACTTTGGGGGTGTTTTGGAGCACTTTGGGGTGGTTTAGGAGCACTTTAGGGGCGGGGTGGTGCAGCAAAGGCCCAGGAACGCCGTGAAGCATTTTAGGGGTGTCATGGGGAACTTTGGGGATGGTTTAGGGCAGAGTGGGTGAGCTGTAGTGCAGTGGGGCCCACGGGCACCGTGGGGCATTTCAGGGTGCTGTGGGGTTGGGATGGGTGGGAGCACCGCGGGTCAGGCTCGGCGCTCTGGGGCTCAATGGGGCAGCGGAAGGTGTGTGGGAGGGCGGGGGGGGGGCGTTGGGCGGGCAAGGGGGGCAGCATCACTGAGGGAACCTCAGGATGCTGGGGGCCTGGAGAGGGGCACAGCCGGGCACAGATGGTGTCCGTCCCAAATATGGGGTGTGTGGGGAGGGACGGGGGCTGACCCTCATTCCCTCTGCTTGGGGGTGGCCCTGAGATGCCGTCGAGGCACGGGGGTCCCGGGGGCCCCGAATCCCCACAGCTGCTCAGGGTGGAGGTCTGGCAGAGCAGGGACCGACAGTTCCCTTGCTATTTAGGGGTCGGAACGGTGGGATCCGGCAGCGCTGTGCTCCGGCCGGAGTGGCTGGAGGTGACGCCACCCCAGTTGGTGACTGGTTTTACTGGGTGGCTGGAGGCCGGGCTGGACACTCTCTCCCTCCGCGGGCGGCCCTGGGACCCTCTCGGCAGGCCGGGGGGCTGGGGGGAGGCAGAAGGTAAAGTCTGTTCCCACCGCCTGCATGGCGGGGCCCCAGAAGTGACCGTGTCCCCTGCTGGCTGTGCAGGGACCCACTGTCCTGTCCCCAGGGCTGTCTGTCCCCTTGACCTGCACATCCTGGGGACTTTAGCTGGGGTATGGGGTACTGTGCCTTGGCTGGCTGGGCTGGGGGGGTCCATTAGATGTCCCTTTGGTGTTCCTGGTCCCCGATTCCCTTTCCTCTGGCAGCAGCAGGTTCCCAGTGGCGGGCTCTTGTCCTCACCACACTTCCAGGGTTGACCGCAGCCCACCCTGGGTGCCAGGAGCAGCACACCCGCCGCCGGGCTCCCGTGCCACCCTCAGTGCCACGCTGGCACCACCTGCCTTGGCCCTGCCGGCCGGGGCATTTGGGGGGGAGGGGGCAGCGGGGAGCACGAGGGACCCTGCTGCCGTTCAGCCCCCCGACCCCCTCCTCTTCCTCCTCCCCGCTTCAGGGGCCGGCGGAGCCGTGTTCACGGTGCGGAGGGCCGAGAGGACCGGACGGATGGGCAGCGGCTGGCGAGGTGAGCGGAGCTGTGGGGGGGGTCCCCACCTGCCCCCCCGGGGGTATCACGAGCACGGAGTGAGGTCACGGTGCCTGCGGATGGCACGTGCCGGTGGGGGTGACGGTGGCGGGGGGGTTGGCTCGCCGGCATCTCTGCCCTGCTCGCCCCTCCCCGGGCGCTGGCAGGCGGATTGATTTCAGGTGACAGCTCGGCGGGCGAGACCGTGCGGGCAGCGCCCCCCCCCCCCGCCCGCGCCCTGTGCCAGCCGCAGCCATGTGCGAGATGCGATGAGGCAGCAGGGGATGGATCCGGCCCGTCGGCCGGCTCCCGTCACGCGGGCGTATGGCGTGGGTTGGGGCAGGGGGAGTCACAGCAGAGACCGGCAGAGCCCCCCCAGCTGGAGGGGTGGGAACAGGCCTCCGTGTGTTGGGGCTGGGAAAGAGCCTGGTGCCCCCCTGGCAGCTTCCCCCTTGGTGGCCCTCTCCAGGGAACCCTGTGCCCCAGTGTGGATGGTTGGAGGTGGAAAGCAGGCTCTGTGGGGTCACTGCTGAGAGGTGGGGGCTGTGGGGCAGAGGAAGTGGATGACCCTGCTGTGTGGGGCTGTCCCTGCCCTCTATGATGCCCATGAGGCAGACAGGCGGGCAGGCTGCCTGTGAGCCAGCTCTCTGCAGGCCTCTCAGGATTCGCCTCCAATCCTGGCACACTTCCCGTGGCAGGGTCACGCCAGGGCACGGCACGAGGCAGGACTGCGTCGCCACTGCCCTGCTGTGCCACCAGCACCCCAGAGCCCCTGGCAGCCCCAGGCTGCTCCATTGGAGTGCTGAGGCTGGCATGGGGATTCCTAGTACCACTTCCCCCCAACTAATCCTGATTTTGTTCTGATTCATTTGGCATCTCCTGCCCTTGGGCCAACCTTCACTTAAAAGGTTGGGGATGGTGACTCGGGACCTGGGGATGCCCCCATGCCCACCTGGGTGGGTGGTGGGACACTGTTGTCAGTGCCCATGGCTCTGATGCCCTGTCTCCCTTGCCTGCAGGCTGCCCACGTGCCCCTGCCCGCCGGGGGCCCCCCCGCCATGGCCATTGTGCAGACGCTGCCAGTGCCCCTTGAGGCCGTATCTGAGGGGGCCACACAGCTCCGCGCCACTGTCCGCTCACCCCCTGCCGCCATGGGCAGCGTGGGCAGCCTCCTGCCCGTCCGGCCTCGCCACGACTGCGCAAGTGACGGGGACCCCTCCGCCGCCTCCTTCTGCAAGCAGGAGGGGCTACCCCGAGCCACTCCTGAGGAGCCCCGCGTGTCTGTGCCTGGTGTCACCCACTCCTACGCCAATGGGGGCTTCTGTGGCGACTGGCTTGATGCCTCCTCTCCTGCCAGCCCCTGCAGCGACTCAGATGATCTCCGTGATGACCAAGCACCAAGTGATCACCTTCGGGGGCCGCCCCCCAAGCTTGTACCTGTCTCTGGCAAGCTGGAAGAGGTAGGGGGGCAGCAGCAGGGTGGGTGGGCGTGTGCTGCAGTCTTGACTTTCCACCCTGTGCCACACTGGGACTGTTGGCTCAGATGTGTGAAATGGGGTCATATGGCCACACTTCTGGTATCCCTGGAAAAGTGGCAGTCTCTATGCTCTTAATGTCCCCTCCATCATGTCAAGGGTGTCTGGGGAATTCACCTGAACACGCATGGAAAGGCAATGAAGTGGGTGGTGACTGGCCTCTGCGTCCTTTGGAGTGTGAAGGCATCAGGGCTGGGCACACCCACTGTAACATTCCTAGGCAGCCCTTTTTGGGGCTAATGGGTCCTCCCCATCTCCTCACTTTTCCCTCTTTTCCTGGCAGAGTGTGGAGAAGACCCTGATCCGCCCCATGGCCTTCAAGCCAGTGGTATCCAAGCTTCGGAATGCCCAGCCAGGTACACGCCTAGGGCTCTCAGAGAGCCAGGTGAGCCTCACCCACTTGCTGGCTGCTGAGAAGCCTGGCTCTCTGAGCTGCCGTGCCAGCACACTCTCGGACTCGGGGCGCAACTCCCTCTCCAGCCTGCCCACTTACAGCACGGGCTGCAGCCAGCACCCAGAGGTGGGTGCCCTGCCGACCACCCCCCATGGCCCCCTTGACCCTCCGGGGGGCTGCCGCCCCTCCAACTCGGACAGCGGGCGCTCATCCTCCAGCAAGAGCACGGGCTCGCTGAGCGGCCGGGGCCGGCCCTCCTCAGAGAGTGGCTCCTGCGGGCGCTCCCCCCTGCCTGGCGAGGAGGCCGTGCTGGTGCGGGAGCTGGAGGACAAGCTGCGGGAGAGGGAGGCCGAGCTGCGGCTCCTGTGGGACAGCCTGGATGAGAATGAGGTGGCCATCTGCCAGGTATGTCCCTGGTGTCCTCATGTCCCGTACTTGTCCCTCTCCCTGGACACAGGTGTTGACATTACCCCTGGTTGGGAGTAGGAACCTACTTTAAGGACCCATTACAGATCCTTGCAGAGGGATACATTTTCCTGTGGGTCTGGGTATGTGGATTTTTCCCACCAGCTGGGTGGTCTGATGTAGTCCATGGGGGAGTCTTGTATGACCCATGGGACCAGTTGTAGAGACTGGGGTGCCTTAGCTTGGGATGTCCTTTTTTGAATGAACCTGGGACCTGTGGCTTCTCCCTGCTTGTGATGGAGCTGAAGGAGCCCTATAAGCTCTGGTGGTGCTAACATGGGGGGCCTATGCAGAAGGATAGGGGAGCACAAGGAGGTGTGTACCACCACACTGCACTCTTCCTGGACCCTTCCTCCGTTTGGGGTAGATGTGCTGCCCCTTCCCTGTGATGCCAATCTTGGAGATGGCAGGTGAAGTGGGAGGGTGCTGTGCTGCCCTCCCAGCACCTGTGCATCCCCTGGCCCAGGTGTTTGAGGAGAAGCAGCGTCGGTGTGAGCAGGAGCTGGAGGGGCTGCGGCAGCGCTGTGCGGCCCAGGCGCGGCAGGCGGCCCACGCAGCACATCGGGGGCAGCAGGTCCTGCAGCTCCAGGTGCTGCAGTTGCAGCAGGAGAAGAAGCAGCTGCAGGAGGACTTGACCCAGCTGCTGCAGGAGCATGAACTGCTGGAGCGTCGCTGTGCCTCCTTCCAGCGGGAGCGCACTGAGCTGGCACCCCGGCTGGAGGAGACCAAATGGGAGGTGAGTCACCCAGCAGCACCAGGCACGTCAGGGGGTGCAGGCTGTGGCTGGGGGGTCCCGGCGGGCGCCTGAACCCCATCATCCCCACAGGTGTGCCAGAAGTCGGGGGAGATCTCTCTGCTGAAGCAGCAGCTGAAAGAAGCGCAGGCGGAGCTGGCGCAGCGGGGTGCCGAGCTGCTGGGGCTGCGGGCTCAGCTGCGGGAGGCGCGGGCGCAGCTGCAGGCGGGCGAGCGGCGGGCGCAGGGGCTGCAGGAGGCCGCCCGCCTCAAGGCGCTGGAGCTGGAGGTCTGTGCCAATGAACTGCAGCGCCGCAAGAGCGAGGCCGACCTCTTCCGCGCCAAAGCCGGCCGGCTCGAGCAGGAGGTGGTGGGGCTGCGGGAAGCTGCCCGCGGGCGATGCCCACCAGGCACCGGTGAAGGGTGCCCCCCGCCTGGGGAAGGATGCCCCCCTGCCAGCGAGGAGCCCCGGAGCAGCGCGGGGCTGCGGCGGCAGCTGGAGCGGCTGCGGGCGGAGGTGGCGCTGGAGCGGCGGCGTGGGCAGGAGCAGCGGGATGCCTTCGAGCAGGAGCGCGGCACGTGGCAGGGCGAGAAGGAGCGCGTCATCCGCTACCAGAAGCAGCTGCAGTACAGCTACATCCAGATGTACCGGCGCAACCGGCGGCTCGAGCAGCGGCTCCAGCATCTCCGGCTTCAGGGCGAGGACCCCCTGCCCGAGCCCTGTGACCCACCGGACCCGCCCTTTGAGGAGATAACAGCCACCGAGATCTGAGATGCTGCCTGCCCTTGCCCTATGCCTGGAGGGCTGAAGGGGCTTCCAGCCCCTGTGATTTTGGGAGCTGTGGGAGGGTCCCTGCTCTCCCCCAGCTCTGCAAACTGCCACCACTGTGAAGGGGCAGGGGAGACCACAGGTGCTGCCCCTCCCCAGCATTGAGGTCTTGGGGCGAGGATGTATCGGTGCCCCCAGGGAGGGCTGCCCGTGAGATGTGGGGTCAGGTGGGCGCTGAGTCCTGGCCTTGGGGCCGCCCGGAACTGGTTTCTGCTGATCCTCTTAGCTCCTGGGGATTAGCAGCACTGGCTTCAGCCAGGGTCACCTTGGGCAGAGGGAGGGCTGACTTGTCCCCTCCCTCTCATCCCTGCTGGCACTGTCACCCAGTCACTTGGTGTGTGCCCCGTCTCTGCCCATGCCAGCCTCCCTCATGCCCCTTTGTGTGTTTGTCAGGGAATTCGTTTCTGTGCCATTTTAAATAACTCTATTTTTATAGGACCTACCAAAACATATCACCCTCTTCCAGCTCACACTTCACCAGTCCATGCCCCCTCACCCATGCCAGAGGGCAGCTTGCCCTCAGTGCCTTTCCCATGCTCTTGCCCCCCAGCATCCCTCTGTTTCCCCCCCAGAAAAGCCCATGCCTCTGTGATGCCCAGCCTGCCAGGGGAGAGGGGCATGGTGCTCTATGTGCCAGCTGGGGACACCCTGGGGACACCCCCAGGGATGGGCAGAGGTGAGGGGCCCCGCTGGGCACCCGGGGGGGTCAAACCAAAGGAAAAGTCTGGATGTGCCCAGCTGTGGCTTGGTCACCCCTGGCTCCAGGGGGGGATTTTTGTACTTTATTTCAGTCATGTCTCGTTCCCAGAGCCTGGCTCATCAGTGTACCACCCGGAAACAGCAATTAAAAACAAGCCCCTGGCTGTGTTTTTTTCAGGACTCTGTCTGCATGTCCAGAGCAGGGTCAGGGACCACCTGTCCTTCCCCTGTGTCGCCAGTGCTGCCCTCCCTTGGGTCCTGCAGTGGGAAGCTGCTCCATGCCCTTGGGGCAGGTCTGGCTTTCACCCTCTGGCTGCACTGAGGCCAGCCACAGCTCAGTGCAGGAATGAGCCATCTGGCTCCTCTGGAACACAGCATGGCTCCTCGAAAAGGGGCTGCAGCATCACTCCGGCGGTGGTCCAGGCACCCGCACCACCAGCTCCATGGGCTCCTTGGCTTTGTTGCGGTAGGCCTGGCGGATGATGTCCACAGCCCTCTGGTGCGTGACGTTCTGCAGGCTCTCCCCGTCCACCGACACCAGCTCCTGCCCGGCCTGGGTCCCAGAAGGGAAAGCCACAGGGTGAAGTGCAGCTGCTTTTGGACTGCCAGAGTACTGCCAGCAAGCCAGTGGCACCAGGGGATGCGAGTGTCTGGATATCTGCCCACCCCCTGGCATGTGCTGGGACCCCCATACCTTGAGGATGCCACTGAGGAAGGCAGCTCCACCAGGGAAGATCTTCTCAATCTTCACCACTGGCTGTGCCCGTGACTCAATACCACCAGAGATGCTGATCCCTGCAAGGGAGCCATGAGACCCTCACACCTGGGTAGGCTGGGACCCCCACCCACTCACTCCCAAGCATGGCACCACATTTCCCTGGTGAGCTCCACCTGTCTTGTCCTATTTTGGTAGGTCCTACAGAGATAAGGGACTGGGGCAGGGCCAGCTCTTCCGTCCCATTCTCATTTTAGAGGAATGCTCTGGAGTTTGCCCCTTGCCAAAAGGGTGCCACCCATCCCATTGATGCTGGTGCCAGAAGGGTCCTCACCCCACCCTTGGAGTCCCACCCATGTGCCACCTACACATGTGCCACCCACCCAGCGAGTGCTTCAGCTTGGAGAGGGTGACGGTGAGCAGATGATACTCTTCCTCCTCCTCTTCCTCCCTGCCAGCATCTTCAGGGCCATTGGCTGCCCCAGTCCTTGCCTCACTCCCTGGCCCCCCAAAGAGAGGGGCCAGAGGAGGCCGTGCCCGCTGGGGCTTCCCCAGCACTTCGGCTTGTCTGCTGGGCACCGTCCTGGGGGCTTCCTTGCGCCAGGTGGCCCGGGGGCTGCGAGAGTGCCCGTGGCCCTTGCCAGGGGAGGGCTCAGCCAGCAGCCAGTTCGGGGGCTGAGGGCTGAGGGTGGGCAGGGGCCGGCTGATGGAGGCATAGGCATCCACTGGCACGTCAGGGAGCGGGGTGTAGGTGCGGGGGTGAGGCCGCCGGGGGCTGGGGGAGGCTCTTGGACGGGCTGGGCTCGCCTGCTGCTCCCCTGCTTCCTCCAGCTCTGGGCTCCCTGCTGGCTTCAGCAGGAATCCGCCCCGATAGTCTGCAATGAGAGGGGTTCAGGGATCTCCCCAGGGACCCACAGCCCTGCTCCTTGGGACCCCTGCCATGCAGGCCTCCCATGAGTACCCCAAAGCCCTGGGTCCTTTGCCATCTAGTGCCCCCCTCATCTAGAGACCCCTGGACACCCCAGTTGTTTGCAAGCACTCCATGTTTTCCCCTCCAAGAACACCAGCACCCAAGATCCACAGATTTTGCTGCTCCCAGTCTTCCCAACACCCAGAGATGCCAGATGCCTTTTTCCCTGGGAGCCCCTGCACTTCCCAGCCCCCTTTCTCTTCCCCCAGACTCTCTCCACCCTGTCCCCACCCTGCAGCCCGGTGTCCAGGCAGACCCTGCAGGTGGCACTTACCAGGCACTGGTGTGATGAGGTGTCTCTTGGGGGGGGCGTCATGGTGGGCCGGGCGGAGGGCAGGTGAGCGCACTGCAGTCAGGGAGAACCCCCAGTCACTCCTGAGCTGCACCCACCCTTGACCACTACCTGCCCCCAGTCAAGGTCCCTGGGGGGCTGAAATCTACCTGAGCGGCTCTTGAGGGCATCGAAGGCTTCCAGCTCCAGCGGCATCACCATGCTGTCAAACCTGCCCAGGTCTGTAGGGGCCACCACGCTCCTGCCAAGGCAAAAAGATGAGGACAGATTGTAGCAGCTTCTGGGGTGGAGTGTGATCAGGGCTGAGGAGTATGTGTGAAGCTCCACTTCAACCACACCAGGATGGGCAACACTGGGGTTCCCAGATATTTCCTAGCAGCACTTGCCTCACGTCCCGTAGCAGCAGGACCTTCTCGGGCCGGTCCAGGATGGCCAGCAGTGGCCGCACCAAATCCTCCACGCTGCCCTCGTGCAGGTACTGCGGGCACAGGAGGGGGGATCAGTGGATCACCTGATCCTCTGTTCCTCCCAGAGTTAAGCATGGGCATAGAGTGCTCACCATGCCCCTAGGATGCAGGAGCTTCCCAGGGACAAGCCCAGGGTGGCAGTGCTGCCTGCCTGTGTCCTGCCTGTCCCCTGCCCTCGGTGCATACCCGGGAGCAGTGGCGGAGCACGGCTGTCACCTCGTCGGGGCTGAGGAGACGTTTAGCAGTGTCCTGGATGTGCGGGAGCCGGGCCTCAGGGTCGCTGCCGTTGGGCTGCAGGGTGGCCATGCCCAGGGGGCCCAGGATGCTGGCACGCCGGCTTTTCTCTGGGGAGGCACAAGGAGGGGTGGCCAGCGGGGCAAGGACTGCCCCAGCCAGCCCAGGGAGTTCCCCATCCCCACCACCCCAGCAGCTCACTCCACACCAGAGCGGGACAGACACAAGCAGTGCAGGGCCAGGCGCATGCAGAGCCTGCCCAACAGCCCCCCAGGCACACGGCACCCCCGTTACCCCGCCTCAGGCTCCGGATGACACACTTCTGCACAGCGCCTACTGCAAGGGAGATGGAGAGCGGTGAGTGCCCAGGGCAGACAGCAGCATCACCGCCCACTGTCAAAACTGTGTGCTTGGGGAACCCCTCCCTGTGCTCCCTTCATGCCAGGGATGCCACAAGGCACACAGAAGGGGGAAGAGTCCCAGCTCGAGTCCCTCTCTGCCCTGTCACCCAGGCTGATACCTCTGTCCCCGTCAGAGCGCCCTGGGGACTTGGAGCGTGCCCGGCGTTCAGAGCCAGGGGCCTCCTGGCTGGGGGGGGCCCAGCTCTGGCTGGTGGCACGGCCCCCCTTGAAAAAGAGGTTGACAAGGGTCTTGGAGCGGTGCAATCCTGGGGTAGCCCCCCGTGCCCCTTGTCCCTCTGGCTTCTCCTTCTTCCGCTTCTCCTCTGTGGACAGAGAGAAGGGGCTGTTGGAGTGGAGAGGTGAGGGGATGCCATCCCAAATCTTGCCTGGGGACACAGAACTTTGGGGGATTGGAGGGGCTACTGGGAGACGCTGACTGGAAAAGAGTCCATCTGTGGGGTGCAGTTAATCACCAGGGGCCATGGGGCTGGGCTTTGGGGTGCCTGGGAAAGCCCAGGGACAGAGCTGGGGCGATGTGGGGTTATAGGATACCCAGGACTGGTGGCCAGGGGGCCATATGGGCTATAGGGTGCTAGGGTGGGGACCTAGACATTCGCTATAGGAAGTCCAGGAGTGGGGGGCAGGTATCCATGTATGTCAGGGACTATAGGATGCTTGAGTCGGGGACAGGCTCTCCACATGGGGCAGGGCCTGAGCTGTGGGACTCCCAGGGCTGGGTGTGCAGGGTTGGAAGGGGACTGCAGCCAGGGCTCAGTCCCATGTGTGGGGCTGCGCCCCAGTGCGTACCGGCGACAGTGAGGTCACTCTGGGAGCGTGTGATGGGCTGCCGTGGCCGGCTCAGCGCCAGCAGAAGCGCCGTCTTGGGTGAGTGGGTGAAGGTGCGGCGAGGGTGGGTGCCGGGGGCCTCGCGGGTGCCCTGGCCCCGGATGGCCGTGTCCCGCAGCAGCTCGGGGGGCCGCACTGTGCGCCGTGTCTCTGGCAGCCCCTCCGTGGCTGGCTCGGTCTGCATGGCCCGCTCGGCACGTTCCCGCACCCAGCCCCGCCGTGGCCCGTCCTCCGTGGAGATGGCCACATCCACGGTGCGGGCCGGGGGCACTGGGGAAGCTGCCCCCAGCCCATTCACCGCCCCTGGGGCTGGTCCTGAGGAGTAGGAGGAGATGGAGGAGCTGGTTTCCGAGGTCTGAGCCAGCTGTTGCAGCTGCCCGTTGGTCACTGCAAAGGCACAGCAGGGACATGCTGTGACACACTGTGGGCCACCCAGAGCTCCATGTCCCTCCCAAAGACAGCAGACATGTCGGGAACCCGCAGAACCATGGGGACCTGTGGACTACTGGCCATTGCATAGGGATCATCATGTCCTCTCCAAGAAAGTAGACATGTAGGATGCTGTGGGATCACGGGGACCACAAGGCTGCTGGCCATGGCAGAGGGCTCTTCATGCCTCCTCCAAGGACGGGGGACATCTGGGACCTTGCAAGTCCATCAGGCCTGTGCATAAGCTAACAGTGGCACAGGGAGCTCCCTGCCCCCTCCAATGCCTTGGGACCCCACGGCATGCAGACCTTCTCCCTCCCTACAGTGGTCAGACATCACAAACACGGGAGTCCCAGCCCCACTGTGCTCCAGCCCAGTGCCCCTCCCAGTGCCCAGCACCCACGTAGCACTGCCCTTACAGCGACTGAGCCAGCAGTACTCGGCCACCAACTCCTTGTAGGCAGGGAACCGGCCTGTCTCCTAGGCACAGGGGGAGAGGACAAGGGGGTCAGTGAGTGCTGGCTGCCCCGGCGAACTCGATCTGGTGCCAGCCATGAATAATGCATCCCCCCCTCCCACCCGCCTGAAACCCAACCAGCCAGCAGCTGCACCAGCCCCCAGCACTGGGCTGAGCAGGGGCAGTGCCAGTGAAGGGACGTGCCGACCCTGCCTCACCCGAGAGTCCATGGGGCAGGGCGTGGGTACCTTGATTGTGAGCATGATGTGGGTCTGCCCCTTGAGCACCTCCACTGCCTTGCTATGGCTTATGTCTTCAAACTTGACTCCATTGGCTGCAAGGACTTGGTCTCCTACCCGAATGCCGTTTTGCTCTGCCAGCCCTCCAGGGTCCACCCTAGGGAAGCAGGGGGGCAGGATGGGGCTGAGCCCTTGCTGGAATCCTGCTCCTGCCCCACGCCTCCACTTGGTGGCCTCGTGGCTCAGCACCCATGGTGGTAATGCCCAAAGTGTTGTGATGGTGGGGTGGCTCAGCCAGAGAGGAGGGGCTGAGCCCCAGCATGGGCACAGCAGAGATTGGGATGTCACAATCCCTTCACGCCCCGGGGCAGCCGTACTTGGAGACGTAGATGCCGAGGCCAAACTCTCTGCCCCCGCGGATGTTGAAGCCCAGGCAGTAGTCATCAGAGGTGGTGTAGAGGTGGACGATGCGCCGCAGCCCGTCCTCGGAGCCACTCTCCGATGGTGTCGAGCCGCTTTTCTCTACTACCAGGCGCCTGTTCACCACATCCACCCTGGAGCATGGGTACAGTGTAGGTAGGGTAGTCTCAGGGATTTGGGTCTTGTCCTCCAGCAGGATGGGACCATTGGTGGCACCCAGCGGAGGAAAGTGATGGGGATGGGGGATGTTTAGGATGGGCCTTGCACCCACCCTACCTGCTCCAGACCTTCCTATCCCATCCTATATCCCAACCTCGTCTCTCCCCGTCTTTGCCAGAGATTTCTGATGCCACTCCACCCTGGGGTCCCCCATGGATCCTCCCTGTTGCCTAGAATCCCTCACCAACCTCCCCCAGCATGCCTTCCAGGGGGTTGGGTTTTGGTGCTGGCATGGGAGATGCCCTGCTCACCATGCCGTCTTCTCCTTGGAGAACTTGATTCCTGGCACACGGCCCATCCGCCGGACCACCATGCGGAGGCGATTGTTGCCAGTGAGGACCTTGACAGCGCTGCTCATCGTGATGTTCTCCAGACTCACACTGTTCACCTCTGTGATCTTGTCACCAACACACAGCCCGGCCTGCTCTACAGGGGACACACAGCTCATCTGGGCACCTGGCCTGGTACTGATGCCCTTCTTTGACATCCCTCCCTCAATGTCTCCTCCACCTGCTCTGAACCCCTTGGGAACAGAGGCAGGGGTGCCTGACAACTGCACTAAGCCTCTTGGGGATGGAGCTCAGAGTCATTGGCACAAGGCTGTCTACTCCTATGTCCTGCCCTTCACTTTGGGCAGCATGCAAATCTCATGGCCAAAGGCAGCAGGGAGCAAATGGTGGCTTTCCACCATGAAGGGCGGCATTATTGCTGTGATCCCATGTCACTGGGAGCTCCCTGAGAGGGTCTTGCTGGCATGTGCCTGGTGTCCCTCACCCTGACCCTCTTACCAGCAGTGCTCCCCTCCTCCACTTTGCTGACAAAGATGCCCAACCCATGCTCGGAGCCGCCACGGACGCTGAAGCCCAGTTTGCCGTCCACGCTCTTCTCCACTGTGATGGCATTGATGACATCACTCTCATTGCTGCTGGCTGTGGGGACAGGGGAGCAGACGAGTCACACATGCTGTGTGTGCTATGGCAAGGGGTGTCTCTCTCCCCGGGAACATCCCCAGGCCCAGGACAGCCCTCCCTGCCCCTATACCCAGGGAATTCAGCCATTGGGGCCCTCCTGGCCACGGGGGCAGGCAGGGGGCCAGGACACCCCACACACCTTCAATGGGGGCATTGATGAGGATGACACGGCCCATGGGGGAGGCGGCACGGCTGCTCCGGGTGGTCCCATTGAGCAGGCGGCTCTGCTTGCTGAGGAGGTAGCCGGGAGCCAGGCTGGCTTCGCTGCTGGAGCTCCGCGAGCGGCTGCCTGTCGTCATCCCCGACAGCACCGCGTCCCAGTCCTGGGCCATGGTGGTGCTGGGCACGCCGGCGTCCTGGCGTCTGCCTCAGGGCTGGCTGCGTCCTCACAGGGCCAGGGCTGCCCGTCAGCCAGCAGGGGACATGGCATAGTCCAGAAGCACATGCCCGGGCTTGGGCACCGCTCTTTTTTAGCAGTGCAATGCTGGGGGCAGCTGGCCTGGGCACTCGCCGCTGGCAAGACAGATCCCAGGCGCAGCAGCACAGCCTGGAGGGACAAGGAGCTTTGTGATCCCCCCTCTCCAGCCTGATCCCGTCCTGTCCTATGCTGTCCCAAGGATCAAACTGCCACATAGCTCCTGGGTACTATCATGGGGGTGGGGGCACAGGCTGCCCTGCCCTGGGGTAAGGATGCTGGGGTGAAAAGGAGCTCTCCCTCGCAGCGTAAATCTGGAACAGGGGATGCAAAGGGGCTTTACTTGACAGCACAAATCCGGAAAGGCTCCAGAGAGGGAACACGGGGACATCAGCTTTATGCTACACAGCAGGACCTGATCCCTCTGGCCATTTCCCGTCCTCCCCGGAGCCCCTCTGAATTTCCAACGCCATGCGGCTGGAGATGGGTGCACCAGTCCCCAAGGCAGTTCCCGCGGGGATTTTCCAGGCGTGGGTGAAACGCCACCACGGTGCCCCCCCCACTTCATTCCCCGCTCGCCCCAGCCTGACCTCAATAAATAAGTGATGGCCCCGGCCGCGGGGACACGCCGGTATCCCCGCCGCTGCCAGCCCCCCACAGCGCCCACCCATTACCCCCCGCCAGCATCAGACGCGGGTGCCCCCTCCCCGAAGGGGTGCAGGGGACCCCCTACCGCCGTCCCTCCCTCGCCCCCGCCCCGTGCCCTCCTCACCTGTCCCCATGGTGCCACCTGCGAAAGAGACACCTGGCAGCAGCGCGGGGGGGAAAGCGAGGCCGGGGGGCAGCACCGCCTCCCGCCCCCCCGGCCGCGGGGATTGGCTTTCCCTGTGGGACCGGAGAGGCCATCGGGCGCGGGAGCTGTCAATCGAGAGCGGCCGGGGCTGGCCTTGCAGCTGGCGGGGGGGGGACAGTCCCGTGGGTGTCCCTCGCGAGGGGGTCCGGGGGCGCGACCCCCGGCGAGGCTGAGTGTGGCAAGGGATCTGGCGTTCCCCCTGACGTCCTCCCTTAGCGCGGAGCATCCCGGGGGCACACGGGGGAAACTGAGGCACGGTCAGGGGAGGAGGGGTGTCGCGTCCCTCCGCTTCGCTCACTTCGGGGATGCGAGCCGGTATCCCCCCGTGTCCCCCTTCCCGGGGGGCATCGCCTGCGGCGCGGGCCGGCCGTGACCCCCCGGCGGGGCCCGGCGCCGCCAGCGCGAACCCGACACCGCGGCGGTTTCAGGTGATGCGCGGCGGCCGCGGGGACTGCGGGGGGGCTGCGGACGGGCGGCGGGGGCGGGGGCCGGCGCGGGGGGGCCGCCCCGACAACGCCGGGGTGAGGGGCTGGGGGGGCACGGCCGGCGTGGGGACACGCACCCACATGCACACACACCCCATGCACCCGCACGTCCACGGCATGCGTGTCCGTGCCCTCGCGCGCACTCACGGACGCCCGCGGAGCGCCGCACACGCGCGGACGTGGCCCCGCTCGCACGCGCGTGTTCCGCACGCACCGCCCCACGCTCGAGCCGGCGCCCACTCCCGCGGAGGCGCGGGCCCCGCGCGCTCCGGCGCAACAACCGCGACGCGCGTGGACGCCAACGCGGCGCGCGCGTCCGCGGCGCTACGGACACGCGCGCGCGCGTGGCGTTGGCATCGAGACCCCGGGACACGCGCGCGGCTGACGCGGGGACGCGCGGAAACGCGCGCGTGAACACCCACGTGCGAACACACGCGCGCGCGAGCACCCCAGCGAGCGGAGGCCGAGCCGACGCGCGAGCACACGCGCGCGGTCACGGGCAGGCGCGTGCACGCCCACGGGCACGCCCACAGAAGCGCGGGAGGGCCGCGGGCACCGCGTGTGGCTCGGCACGTACCGCTCCCCCCGCCGCCGGCCCCGGTCACGCGTGGTCCCCGCCGCCCCCCGCGCGCCGCCCTCCCCGTCCCGCCCCGCCCGCCCGGCGCGGGGCCGCCCACCCGTGACGAGGCCGCACGTCAGCGCGCGCAGGGGCGGGAGTGGGGCGGTGGCGGCGGCGGCGCGGGCACGGCGGGCGCTGTCGCGGGAGCCGTGAGTGCGGGGGCTGCCCCGGGTCCCTGTGCAGGGGGGTCACGCGTGGCGGGAGGGATGCTCGGCGCGGCAAGGAAGGGAGGCGAGCCCCGCTTCCCTCGGGGCAGGGCGGGTGGGGAATAAAACCGCGCCGGGTGTGTCGGTGCCTTGCCGGGAGGGACGTTCCTCCTTCCACTGCCCTTCCTCACTCCGCTCTCCCGGTGCTGGCAGCAGCTGTGGCCCCTCCGTGGTGGGTCCCTGTCCCCTCCTGTGTGACCGGGGTGCTCTGCTGGGGTGGGGGCTCCCTGATTTCTGGTGGCTGGTGTGGGCAAGGTCGGGGGTTTCTCTTTGGCACGTTGCAAGGTGCAGTCCCATTTACAGGTCGCACCACCCACAAAGTGCTTCATGTGCTGGGAGGGCTCAGGAGTCGCTGCTGAGCTCCTTTACAAAGGGGCTTCCTGTTCACCCTTGTCCCCTCAGGCTGAGGGGGCACAGAGCTGCTGCAGCAGGGATGTGGGGGGGACACACAGGCACCACATCCCATATAACTCTTTCATCCCCTGCCAGAAGATGCCACCGTCCTTGCCTGCCACCATCAACATCCGGGAGCCCCGCTGGGACCAGAGCACCTTTCAGGGCCGGGCCAAGCACTTCTTCATGGTGACCGACCCCCGAAACCTGCTGCTCTCAGGGGCCACGCTGGAGGAAGCCCGACGGGTGGTGGAGGACTACAGGTACCCACTGGGAGGGTGGATGTGCCCTCAGCACTGCTCCCAGGCAGGAGCCATTCCCAGGAGTGGGAATAGAAATGATGCTGGCCCCCCCGGCCAAAGCCCCCAAAACTGCCTGGCTGGTCCCTGAGGCATGTCCCAGCTGCCCCAAAGGGTGTGGGGGACCAGTTTGGCCATGTGTGCTGGCAGGGGGTCTTTCAACAGGTGTTACCCTTACCTGGCAGGGCAGGCACCGTACACCCTGGGCTGACAGAGGACCAGCTTTGGCGGGCGAAGTACATCTATGACTCGGCTTTCCACCCTGACACGGGCGAGAAGATGATCCTTGTGGGACGCATGTCTGCTCAGGTCCCCATGAACATGACCATCACTGGTTGCATGTTGACCTTCTACAGGTACCTGTCCTCTCCTCACCTCAGGACCAAGAGGATGCCTGGAGGATCCTCCTGGCTCTGGGGTGAGGAGGGGACACGGGTCCCGTACCCCACTCGTGCTGTAGCAGCATGGGTGACATCCCCCAGTGTCTCCAGCACCCTCCTCTCTCTGGCAGGACCACACCAGCCGTGCTGTTCTGGCAATGGGTCAACCAGTCCTTCAATGCCATTGTCAACTACACCAACCGCAGTGGAGATGCACCCATCACCCCCAGGTGAGCATCTCTCTGACCAGGTCCTCGAGGCACCCCAAAACACCAGGGGGTGCCTTGCATAGCAGAGTACTGTGAGATGGGACAGTGAGACCTAGGGAAGGCAGAGATGGATGCCATTGGAGCTGTCAGGGTTAGTGGTAGAGCTGAGAGAGGAACCCAGATGTCCTGATGCTCTTGAAGGGCATGCTGTTCCTTCCTTTGGAGGAGCAGCTGGGATGGGAAGAACCTGGATTAATGGTGTCACTTCCTGCTCTTTCAGCCAGCTGGGGACAGCCTATGTGAGTGCAACCACAGGGGCAGTTGTCACAGCACTGGGACTTAAATCCCTCACCAAGGTAAGCTGATGCTTGGCCATCGCAGCTGGGAGATGTGGACCCTCCCCACGGGATCTCCCTGAGCTCTGAGCTGAGCAGGGCATTCACCTGGAGTGGGGGAGAAAATGAAGAAAAGGGGTTTGCTGAGGTTGCCCACACAAGGCAACTGCTCTCCCCAGTGATGGCTGTGGAGATGGCCTGTCCCTCCAGGCTTTGGGTGTATTTCCAGGCTTCTTCCATCCCTCAGCCTCTGTCCAGGCCTGGCAGGGGACCTGGGTTCCCCCAGACCCTTTGGTCTGTGCAGCTTTTACCAGTTGAGGGTTGCAGGGGAGGAGGAAACGCTTTTCCCCAGTGGGGCTGGGACACCCCAAGGTCTTGCAGGAAGACAGAGACTGACCCAGGGACAGCCAGCTCTGTCCCCAGACCCTCCATGTGACATTCTCCTGCTTTTCCCCCCAGCACCTGCCAGCCATCATCGGCCGGTACGTGCCTTTTGCAGCTGTGGCAGCTGCCAACTGCATCAACATCCCGCTGATGAGGCAGAGGTGAGCCCCGAGGTGGGACAGGCTGGCCTCAGGGTTTGTAGGCACTGGTGGGGAATACAGGGACTTCCTTGCTGATCCTTAGCATGGGGGGATGGCTCGAGGGTACAAGCGCCTGGTTGCAGCCCAGGGGGTTATTGTTCCCTGTACAGCCCTGTTGGAACTGCTGCCAAATGTGAATGTGGCTCCAGCTGAGACCCCTCTGATTTATTGTGTGGATGGGGTACTGGAGGATGCCAGCCTCCCTTGGAGACATGTCCCTGTCCTGTGTCCTGATCCCCTCACCATTGTGCCCTGTGGCCCCCTGGCCCCCTGTGTCCCTGCAGAGAGCTCAAGCTGGGGATCCCTGTCACGGATGAGAATGGGAACCGCCTGGGTGAATCCACAGCAGCAGCCCAGAAGGCCATTTTCCAGGTGGTGGTGTCCCGCATTGGCATGGCAGCGCCGGCCATGGGTGAGTTCCCTTCCTCCACCTGTGCTGGGAGATTGCAGCTGATCCCTGGCAGCGTGGGATGGGGTCCCACTGCTGGCGGGGGGCTGTGAGCACTGGGAGCTCATCTCCTTCCTCCCTGCCTCAGCCATTCCGCCGGTGATCATGAACATGCTGGAGAAGAGAGCTTTCCTGAAGGTACCAGTGAACCTGGGCTGGGCAGGTGGGCGTAGGGATGCTCACCAAGCTTGGCACGTTGTTGGCACCCCTCAGGGCTAGCACCCTGTTGGGGAATAGACACCTTCCTGCCCTGTCCACTGCACTGACACACATCCTCTCCCTGTCCCTGGCAGCGGTACCCGTACCTGAATGCTCCCCTGCAGGTCAGCCTGGTGGGACTCTGGTAAGTCCTCCTCCACCGATGGGCATTGCTGCCCTGGGCAGATACCAAGCCCAGGTGTATTGACAGTGCTGCTGGGAACCCTGCTTGGCAGTGGGGGGAGAGAACTGCCCCAAAGTTTCCTGGGGGAATGCCAGAGTTTGGCCAGGCTAGTTGCACCCCAGGCAGATGGGATGGGATATGAGGTTCTGGGGCCAGGAGTTGTTTTGCTTCATCTTGGTGTCTCTCAGGCCTGCCATGGGCTCCTACTCAATGTTGATGTTCCCCCACATCATTAAGGGACAGACTTTGCCCCTCCTCAGGAGCCAAATGCAGACTCTGGAGCTTGGAGAGGGCATCTCTGTAGCCCTTTCCTGGCTGAACACCTGGCACAGCTCTGGCCTGCCTCATTGCTGCTCTGGGATCAGGCCGTGGGTGGGTGTGGGTGATTTATGCAGCCCAACTTCACCTTTCCCTGTCTTTCCTTTGCAGTTTGGTGTTTGCCACCCCGTTGTGCTGCGCACTCTTCCCACAGAAAAGGTACAGATGGGTCCTTTGCCTGCACGTGTGGCTCCTGTGTGGGGTAGGGGTGCTCTCTGACTCCCAAGAGATTCTTCTGCTTCTTTGGGCAGTCGGGGGCTTAAACCAGTGCACACACATCTCTGTTACCAAGGGTCTGTGCTGGGCCATGGGGACAGCCTCCCCGTGGGTGCAGCAGGTAGTTTCCAACCTGAGGCCACTGGTGGCTATACCCCTTCATCCTCTGTGTCTGTGTTTCCTCTACAGCTCAATGCCTGTGAGCAGCCTGGAGCCTGAAGTCCAAG